CATTTTGTTAAAAACATATTTTTAACTTCAGTTATATCTCTTTTAAACTTTTCTTGAAGTCTGATAATAACGATAATAATACAGACGTTGACGATACCAATACAAATGTCAGCGGAAAGAGCAGAAAGAAAAAAAATGATAATAATACAGACGTTGACAATACCAATACAAATGTCAGCGGAAAGAGCGGAAAGAAAAAAAATGATAATAGTACAGACGTTGGCAATACAAATGCCAGCGAAAAGAGCGGGAAGAAAAAAAATGAAAGAAAAAAATCTGGGCAGATTTCCAATCAACCGCGAAAAGGTAATAATTAATATTTATTTTTTCATTTTATATTACAAAAAATTTTTTATAATAATCAATTAATTTTTATTTTTATTTTAGATTATAACGAAAATAATAAAGTAAGTTATTTAATTTGAAATTAATTAGTTACAAATACTAATATTTTATTTTATTTCATAAATTAGAGATAACAATATGTAAAAAAGAAAAAGAAACCAAAATTTTGCAACCCCTGAATATAAAAGATATATTCTAGACGAATCACATTTTGACAAATTTATCATTTCGGGTACTTTTGTGAATCTATAATCCTTGAATAGCACATAATATGCATATTTTAAATAAAGTAAATTTTTGTGTCGTATTGCTTTTGTAATGAAATTTTGTAACAATGTAACGATAATGCAAAATTAAAGTTTAAAAGTTCATTTTTCGTTAGTTAAAATTTTGTGTCACTACTTATCCGGTTAGTTTGGAAAATAAAGGAAATTGTCCAATTAAAATTATGTATATTATACACGTGATCTGATCGTCCAATTAAAATTAAATTATATTATACACGTGATCTGATCATCAAAATAAATATAACGCAGAAAATATTTGTTTATTTTTTTTTAACTTTTTTTCTTCAAACTTTTCTTTTCGTTTATTTATTTTTTAACTTTTTTACATTTGAATATTACTAACTTGCTTTTTTCACTACGCAGAAAATATTTGTTTATTTTTTTTAACCTTTTTTTCCTTCAAACTTTTTTTCTTCAAACTTTCTTTTCTTCAAACTTTCTTTTCGGTAAGAAAATTTATTTTTTTTTATCCTTTTATTTATTTTCTAACTTTTTTACATTTCAATTACTAACTTACTTTTTTCACTAACTTTATACTTTTTTTTATTATCACTAACGCTAACAAACGCTAACAATTACTTTCCATACTACTTACTAATTTGCTTTCTTTATTAACTTCATACTTTTTTATTTTTAATATTAATAATTTACTTACAATAATTTATTTTACTTTCTTTTTTTTTATTATTACTAACGCTAACAAATGCTAACAATTTACTTTCCATACTACTTACTAATTCTAATTTTGCTTTCTTTACTAACTTCATACTTTTTTATTTTTAATATTAATAATTTACTTATACCAATAATTTACTTTACTTTCTTTAATATTTGATTTTATTTTCTTTATACATTTATAGTTTTAATTTATAGTTTATATCTAATACAGCGATAGTATATTATTTATGAATTATTATATATATATATTTATATTTTTTTATAGTTTTCTACATTTATAATTCATATCAAATATAGTGTTTTATTTTGTATATTAAATTAATAAAAATCCATAATTTCACTTTATAAATTTGCTTGTCGTTAATCGTTACTGACCAAATTTTAACTTACTATAATCATAATTCCTAAAATTCGGCCCACAATAATTCCTAAATTCGGCTTACAATAATTCCTAAATTTGCCATAATAATTCTTAATAATTCGGCCCACAATAATTCCTAAATTCGGCCATAATAATTCCTAATAATTCCTAAAATTTGGCTCACAATAATTTCTAAATTCGGCCCAGAATAATTCCTAAAATTCGGCCCAAAATTTGGCTCAAAAATTAGACAATAATTATATAAAATCAGGTCATAAATTGGATGATTATTGTATGATTGCCATACAACTATTGTGTGATTTATTGCAATTTTTAGCACAATTATTGTATGGTCAAATATACAGAAATCATAGTGAATTTAATTGGATATTTTTTCAACAAAAATCACACAGGCTTTTTTCATAGGGCATATAAATATATCCAACCCATCTTTACATGATTATTGTAAGGATTCATAATTTTTCACGTTCACGTTATAAATTCATTTTTAACTCTTGAAATTAAACAAAGTATGAAAAAAGATAAAAATTATTTAAATCACCTTTATTTAATTTAACGTCGCTGTCGCACAAATAATCGTATATCCTCCTAGAATTATTATATTTAATAGGATATCCGGATCTCAAAATTTTCAAACGGGTATCCTATATTATCCATAGGTCATAAATTCGGTGAAAAGCTCTATTAATCTCTTATCATCTATATAAATTCTTCTTTTTGTCGTTGCAAGTAAGAGAGGAAATTATTCTCCCGGTCGAAGCCCAACAAAGCAGCAAAAGGATTTATCATAGTTAGTTTAGATGGTAAAATTACTAGATCAGTCCAATTTATCTGTTTTAAAAAGGTTTGTGTATTTAGAATTTAAATTATTATTATTCATTTTAAATCATTATTTAGTCGCCGTTAAAGCTTTTTTTTTTTTAAAGAAATAATCGTCCTCGCATTTGCAGCAAAACAGTTTATGTGGAATATCATTCCAAATCAGTTTTTGGTTGGGAAGGAATTCCAGTTGAGGAAAATATGAATATTGATGAATTTTATCAAGATGTGGTTATACACGAGTCATACGAGACTAAGTGGAAAGGAAAAGATAAGATTAAGATGTAGAACATGGGAGACTGCAATGCAATATGGAAATAATGTAATAACGTAATAAATATAGTAGTTATAATAACAACATTAAAATTTATTATCAAACATATTGGAAGACTATCGTGAACTTTCAGTTGATTGTCTCCAAATATTTCGTTACCGATATATATAAAGATTCCATTAATGAAAAATTAGAGAAGTGTGCAAGCAAATAGTAAAGCGCAAAATCACCAAGTAGTTAATTAGTTTAGGAATATTAAGTTTAGTCAAATTCCAAAAATTCCAATAAAAAAGTTTATAAAAAAGATTTATCACGTGATTACGGAATGTAATTTTATTGGCGAATTAAGGCTTTTATCGTGCGTTGTCTAAGTTAGAAATAAAAGTACTATTTATAATTCTTTTTTTATAACCACTTAGATTTGACATTTTTGGTTACTTAATTTTACAAATTTCTTTTCTTCTCTTTTTACTTTCATCAAGCATATCAAGCTTCTTCAAGCAATGCATTGTCCTATATTGGCTATATATATTAAACTTTTTCACCGACTAATGTTTTTGATGGGCCAAATTTCATTTCAAAATTTGCTTCCCGCCGATAAAATATAAATATAAAATCGATATATCTCCACAAAAGTCTTTTTATTTTTGTTTTTTTTTCAACAAATAAACCTTCCCAATCTTTCAAAATTTTTGATTTGTAACTTATTCGCACATATCCTGAATTATCTTAGATGTAAGAATTCGTAGTCCCGCGATGGGGTTGTAATCCTTTGTAAGTTTACAACAAGTTCATGTAAATTTTCATAAGAAATTTACAAAAATTTACACAAGCTTACGCATATTTACACAAATTTACGTAAGTTTACACCTCATCGCATGGTTACGCCTACTGATGTCAGGATGGAGAGTAAAGAAATTGGAAAAGAATTTCGCTCACCCTATAAGAAATATGTATACGGAAAGGATACGTTTTGTATAAATTTTTTGTACGTTTCTATAGATTCCGTATACAAATTCCGTATATTTAATAAGCAATTCATTTTTGAACATTTTTTTAAAAAACTAATGTATAAGAAATGTATACGGAAAAAATTAATCATGCGGAATGTATACGGAATTTTTAAACTTAATATTTTTAGAAGATAATTTACAAA